AAACTAAAACCCAATAAGTACAATCATACATGAATACAAATAAAATTCATTTATCATGCCACCGAAATATGTTTTGTATCTTCAAGCATACTCGCCAAGTGTATATGTCTTCGACCCTCGGTGAAAATCGTCTTTGTGAAAACCATAAAATCATTAGATACACTCCATTTATTTTCCTCTCAAATGGTTGATTGTTCACATTACAAGCCCTCTTAAATGTGTCTAGTCGTGTACCATGAAATAATGAACCATGAACCATGACATTTCTTTGCTTTTTTGAAATCATGACAAAACCTTTTTATGACATGAATAATTAAGATGTATTTCTTAAGAAATAACATGAACATATTCAGCAAATACATGAACATAGGTCAAGTGACATTAAACAAAGCATGTGGCCAAAAACCATCACAAGAAACAAAACATGTAACATGAATTCTATCTAAGGTCTGGAACCCTTCATGATTTCACAAGTATGTCTTTCGTCAATTAAACACCTAGACACTTAACCAAATAACTTCAACTAGCCATATAAACTAAAACCATCAATTAACTCCACAAATATCTCATGAATCAATGATCATTAGGATGTATAAACGAGTAACATCAATTACACACATATTTGAAACGACCAAAAGGACATGTCATATGTTCAATCATTTAATTACCACATCTCTAAGGTTTAATAATCTAATAATCACATTAATACACATCCATATAAACTCATACATGTTCTAATATCAATTAACACATAGATATAAATCAATTGATCTCAATTGTCCTATAGCAGAATCCACCACCAACACCACAAATAATCAATTATCAATAAGGCTAAATAACACCATACAACAACATATATTATGGTGTAGTTGAGACTAAACTTACCTTAGGTTTAATTAGTGTTGAAAGACCCTAGAAATTTATCAAGTTCACATCTTCCTTGTTGAAGCTTTCAGCTAAACCACCTAATTATTTCCTCTTTCTTGGCCAAACTCTCTTCCTCTCTTTCTTTTGGCCAATCTAAATTTCTTAGTGGTTTTAGTTTTCTTCCTTTTTAAGTTTATGATGTGCTAGGTTAATTATCACTAAGATATGCTAAAATTTTATTCCCCTTGTTCTTTCCTCTCTTTATCGACTTAAGGAGTTCAATAAGCTAAGATTTTTCCACTTGGATGTGCACTTTTATGGCTATTTGATTAATAGAATTTTCTAGATCAATCTACATTAATCAAGTTGTATTCTAAGTTATCCTATGTATGGAATATCTTTTTATTTTTATTTTTATGTCTTAACATGGATGGATCAATTTATTAAGCCCTAGTCCTAAGTTTTCCAAATTTGAACAACTTACATATTAGTCATTATACTTGATCACTAAGTTCAATTAAGCCCTCATACTATTAATTATTACACTAAAACCCCTAAGTCACTTATACACATATAACACTTAATATTATGAACTTGCTAAGCTAAAAACTTAGTAATACAAACATAAAGCACAATATCAATGCAAACACTAAGGATAATTTTTCCCCTAAACTCAACATACGGACAATTTAAACAAGTGAACAAACATACATACAAGTGCCTAAAGAGGTTCAAGGCCATGGGTATTATATGTTGTCATGCATTCCTTTTTGTCGTGTCCTAGCACATCCTTTTTAGTTGCGTCCTAGTGTGTCCTTTTTAAGCCGTTCCCTAAAGCGTCTTTTTTTAAGCCGTGTTCTAATGCAATCTTTTTTAAGATGTGTCTCCTCAATCCTTTTTCGGTCATCTCCTTGTGCATCTTTTTAAATAGTGTCCTTGTACACCTTTTTAAGTCATATCCTCATGCACTTTCATTTCATCATGTCATCCTGTTTTTATTTTTGTTAAGTTTAATACCCATCCCAATAAGATGAATTCACTCAAATATGTATGACGCGTAATATATTAAGATTGGACTTTTAGTTTTGCATACATGCAATGCAATCTACTTCAAGTAAGACATGGTGGCGATGATCTCGATCTTCTCCACTCACAACCAACTCTTTATCTAGATTTCATCTATCATTTTTGGATTTTCTAGTTTCTTCGATGCTAAATGAAGACTCTTTTCTTAATTTCTTATCCTTTTTTTTATCCTTTTTCAGAGATTCTATTCGTTAGACCTCCCGATGTCACGTTTTTTATCCGACGACAAATTTGAAAATGAAATATGTCTCTAAAGTAATAAATTGCTGTTAACAAAATCTCTATGAAATATTAATGCCGAAATCAACATTATGACAAATAGTTGCTCATACAATATTTAGTCTAGCCTTATTAGTTAAATCTGTGAATATAAATTGTGGCTAGAACTTTTTTGTTCCTTTTTAAGTCATTTTTCCCCAATTCAATTTCTTTGGTTGTCCCATCCTTCAGGAAATAAATTAAGTACTCCAAAATTACCGACCATTTCATACTTCATTCATTTAAATTAATTCAAACAACCGCGTTAAAATTGATATGCTTTAAGTAATTTTAGAGAGTTGAAACAATATATAAAAATAAAAATCACATCAATTTTAATATGATGTATTAATTACTATATTTAGTTTAATTTAAATAGATGAAATATAAAGTGATAGATACTTTTGAAGTATTGGAATATTTTCTCCCATCTTCGCTAAATTTCTTAGCAAATAATGAATTTACTATGTAAAATAAGACATCATAGCCGGAAAGTTTGTAAAGTTGGTGATTTGAATTTTGTGCTTTAGATTTTATTTTTATTTTTATTTGTTCGAGAAAGGGTTGTCACAAATTCTTGAGAGACCAAATTTTATATTATGAACTCAAAAAATAGAAATAAATTTTGGGTCATGTTATTTCCACAATCTCATTCCATAATTTACTTTTATTATTTAGATACATCAAAATACCGATAATTAGACTTTTTACAAATGATGAATATTGGTATTATATTTTTATCTACAAAATGCAGCTAAAAATAAAAACTCTATTCTTTTTGCAATGGAGTCACTGAAACACAATAGAGTTACTGAAATTTTGGAAACTTCAATTTTTATATAGTTATTTTATTTGATTTAATTTTGAATTTTAATAATTAAAAAAAAACATTTCATTGGAATTTGAGTAATGTAGTTTATTACAAAATTTGTTCCCATTTTGTTAACAATAATTTCTTGTGCGTTAGGACCATGATTTACTTCTACATAATACATGAAAGTCAAGCATGCCAGCTTGCGCACGTACGTATCATCAATTATTTAATCAAACTTTAGTTTGTCATGGTATAAAGAAGAGTACCGGGGCTTGAAAAAAAAAAAAAAAAGGTAAGAGACGTTAAATTTAATAGCTCTAATTATTCATTTCACAATTTCTTAACACCTTGGTTGGAAGTTATAATTTAATAGATTTGAGTAATTCATGTAATCCAAAAAAAAAAAGAAGAAGAAGAAGAAGAATTTGGTCCAATTAATTTTCCAAGTTTTTTTTTTTAATATTGATCTTAAAAAGTTCAAATAAAAAAGCTAAACTATAAAGAAATCATCTTTGATCATCACAATCACATATATTCCTTGAAAATTTTAAATTATACTACATATATGAATTTAGATTATCTCATGTTGTTTTACGAATATGACCAAATCCAACTATTGACTTTGAATTCGCTAACCTAGATTAGATGAAAAAAAAATTAATTAAGGTGTTACCATATTTATCATGTATTATATCATATCTATCCAATTTCTATTTAATGATTTTGATTTTAAGAACATTAGAGTATCTGTCATATATATCCTCATGTGTTAAGTAAAAAGTAATGATATATAAACAAACCATTTATTCAAAATTCTCACACAAATACATTAGCATTTACTTATATATATATATTGAAATCCATACTAAAAATTATTTATCATTCATGAAATCCATACTTACCAGTTATCAATTGGGACATCAATTTGCATAATGAAAATTACTTTATTCGTAATTCATTTTTTCTTAGATAAAACATTTAAAAATATATTTGATCTGGGTGGGTTAAACTCTGAATTGTTTGCATTTAGAGTGTTAGAAGTTGAATTCGAAATAAAATGCTCCTAGGCCAGATTAATTTGCAGGATTGAGATAAGGCTAGCTAGATTGTGAACATAAATTAAATTCTTCGAGCTAAAGGAACAAAATATATGAAAGTCAAGCATGACAGCATGTGCACATATCATCAATTATTTAATCAAAATTTAGTTTGTCATGGTTTAATGATTTGATTTAGGGTATATACTCACAGGATTAAGTACAGAGAAATGATATACAAACAAATTTTTCTTCCAAAATTTTCGTACAAAAACAAGAGCATTTGCTTTATATATACATAGAGAGAGATGTATATATTTTTTAATCAGTTTTTATATCAATCGAGATTAAGTTTGTTATTTCTTGGATTAAATTAATACCAAAACATGTTTTAAATTCAATCGACTACTGGATTTTTTTTCAACTAACTAAGCCCAAACATTATACCAATAAGAAATAATTATGACTAATTATGATTGATGAGAATTGAATCTTGATTTTGTTCAAATCAAAATAATCTCTTTACCACATTGGACCACTTAATTTCCTTTTGTATAATGAAAATTACTTTGTTTGTAATTCATTTTTCTTAGATAAAACATTTAAAACTATATTTGTTTTGTGTGGGTTAAACTCTGAATTGTTTGCATTTAGAGTGTTAGAAGTTGAATTCGGCAATGAAGTGATTAATCTAGGCCAGATTAATTTGCAGGAGATATAAGACCAGATTATGGACATAAATAAAATTATTAGAGCTAAAGGAACATAACTACATACGGAAAACATGTTCCTGCAAAGACAAGACTACATAGAAAATGTCTAAAGCATTTACACTAACAAAAACTAGTGAAAGAAATGGCAAAGTGGAAGACAATAAGACACAGACAAAGACATAAGCGAGGAAGAAGACAGCAAAAAGTGATCTTGTAAATATCTCCCTACCGAATTTTGGAATAAGCTTCTCCTTGAAGCCGAATTTGTTTATTGAACCTCTGAATAAAGTCCTCAACTCTTCTATTTAATTCTTCATTGGACAGATTTGCATACTCATTTTTTTCTTCAACAGAGTCTGGTGGGTCATACTTTTCAGTTTCTATTCTACGTATAACGTTCTTACTCTCATCAATCACCACCCGCTTAACAATCTCTGACTTACTACGTTGAAGACTTTTTGCTACAACAAGCTTCTTCTTGTTACGATAAGCTTCACCACGTTTTATGGCAGTACTAGTTTCTAGCCTCTTTTCTTGGGGATTCACGGCGGGGGGATTTTCATTGTCGTCACTTTCATGAACAATAGACAATTTTCTTCGGTGGATAGCTCCTCTCTTTTCTGGACTATCTTTTTCAGCCTCTTCTGCATGCAACCGTACTGTCTTGATAATTTCCGGGTATATTGGGAAAGATGGAACACTTCTTTGCCTCCTCATTACTGCGTACTCTTCATAAACATCGTGTTTATTAATGCGTTTTGAGTAAGAAGAGAATGAACCATAATCCACCGCAATGATGAGGATTAGAGTGTTGGAAATGACGAACCAAAATTTAGTGTTGTTAAAGAGCTTTGAAGGGGAGAGATTGAAAATATAGAAAATAGAGATATAGATAAAAATAGAGAAGACGAAGGCAAAGAAAGAAACTTCCTTAGCTTTTTGTGGGTAGTTTTTAGATTTGAAGGCATTGATTGAACCTAATTGAACTAAATTTGGTGGTGGTTTCTCCATTTTTAGAGGAAGGGAAGGGGTTGCGAGAAATTGTAGGAGGGTGTATGTAAGGAAGACTTTTCCTTTGTTTATTATTTAGCGGTTGGTGAAGTTCCAAACATTAGGGGCTTTTATAGACGATCATGCAGGCGCCAAATAATTGACCATTGCAATTACATATAACTCCTTTTTTCTTTTTTTTCCTTCCTCCCCCCACTAGAAGAACGGCCATCGTTAAAAATAGCTAAAGTCCCCAACATTTCAATTACCAAAATTTCCTTACATTGGCTTAAGAGAAATGAAAAAATATATATATATATATATATTCCGTACATTGATTGCATGGAAGGAGCCCTAGGCGACTACTGTTGCAAGCGCTAGCTGTTCGTTTGTGCATCCACTTGCCCTATAATGTTAAGTCAAATAGCAATGCCACATACTATCGTCATAATACACTAGAAGAAAGTTTTATAGTGGACACGAGGCATCTTAGATTTAATCAAACCCATTTTTTTTTTTCCTTTTCGCTGAAACTTATCCACTGGCCCTGCTTAACACGTATTAACCCGCTGTGCTAAAACACATTGACCAAACCTCATTAGTCCTTCAACTCTGAAATAATTCTCAACATATATACTTCCCAAACTCACTTTTCTCAATTGGTTCTCTAAATTATCTTGCATTTCTTCCTTGGGTCTCTCATTTAAAATCGGTATTCCTCAATTTGGATGGCCAACATCAATGAGCAAAGACGGGGAGGATTCAAGCGTGTAATATCTGATACTTTGACTTAATTGAGAAAATAAATAGTTTTGGAATAAGTTGAGAAACTGATCGATTAGTTGCGGGACTAATCAACCCAAATTGATAATTTCTTATGATAATAGTATAATGAGAAATTTTATAATACATAAAAAATAACTAGTGACATATACGAGTAGTTATTTCATAAATCTACTTCGAAGAGAGGATAGACATCAAAAAAAAAAAAATTGAACCAACGTGAAAATCTTCTTATCATTTTTTATGGATTTAGATGTAATTCAATAAGATATCTATCTCTTTCTTCAAAGTGAGTATATGAAGTAACTATTATACATGTCCTTAATTACTCTTTATGTATTATAAAATTTCTTGTATAATAGATCAAATACATTAGAATTATTGACATTGTATCATATGATATAATTAAGTAAAAATACAATTTAATTAGCGTTTTTTTTTTCATACGAAATTAGTAAATGATTGATCAATTTTATAGTCCCTCTCAGTCAGGATATGGTATATCTTTATCTCTTCCAGGGTTCTGTTCATGCATGATTGACATGCATCTTCTGTACAAAAACCAAGGGTAACGATCTTTCTCCAAAAGTTTGACAAACTTGATGAGCACAAAATGGTGGTGTGGACCCTTTTGCTAACACCTCATTATTTTTTTCATTCATCGTCTTACACATGTACCATTAAATTTGTAATACGGACCCATGACTGGTTAATCTCTTATAGGTAGCCGCAAGTTTGGGTTCAAAAACACTTGGATGTTTGCCACGTGTACGGTAGATCCAATGAAAGGTGTCATTGTTTTCACAATGATTATCACAATAATGGGATATTTTTTTATTTATAAAAAATGAAAACAATGCATCACGATTTATGATGTTGCTTACTTGTTCTTGAAATTCACTTCTCTTGCTTTCTTGCTGATCCTAAGAAATACCATGGGCATGACTTAGTTATTATAAACTTAGGAATTGTGAGGGTAGAAATTTAAAGACTATATGGAATTTATTAATTGGTTACTTATACCCTCTCTATCTTGCGTGACGGGGGCTCGTTAATAAAATTATTAACCCTTCAAATTTAGGTCATAGAATTTTCTAGTGTACTGACAGGAACACTCCAAAGACAGCAAGACAGGGAAGCGTTTCGTGCAATGATAAAATATTTGATAATTTTTGTCACGGAAGACCAGGCTAGGTTTGTGGTGTGGCTCGAAGGTTGCAGACTTTCCTTTGATATTATATATTGTGACAAATGATTATTGATTATTGATTTCTTGATTGGGTTTCAGACAGGTTTCATCATCAACCTTTTGTCTGTAAGCACGTACTGATTATTACATCAATTAAATATGACCATATGTTATGCTGCAATTCATTCTTACGTTAGAATAGAGATAGATTCTAGCATTTATAAAGGCTAGCCTACTTTAAGTTCTATTATCAATTTGTGTTTGTTTGTTGTCGCTAAAGACCAATTTATCACTTATATACTTTGTTTACCTCAGTTCTGTCGTCACTTGAACCGTGAGATTGACAAATTAATTATACTATAAAACTGTTTTTAATTGACGCACTCACCTTCAATATACAATGATTGTTGCAATAAATTCTTGTTATTTGTTTGATTTGGTTATAATAGGCCGATGTAATGCCTTTGTCATGACTCTTTTTTCTGTCTTTTTTTTCTTTCATTTTAAACTTTATGCTAATTATGTTAGTTGTTCACTTGTTTGGTTTATAGTTAATTCTGCTATTAATAATGTAATTGAAATAAATCCATTAATATAGTCAAGATGGTCACCATAAAAAGATAGTCTCGCTAATAAGCAAGTATTTTCTTTTACATAAGGTGCGCAAGAGTTGGCTTAAGAACACTTTTATTGCTGAACTTACAAAGAAATGGTCAATATTGTTCATATAGTAAATTTGATAGGAAGATATCGTGATTTTCTTTTATATATATATAGACACACACACCGCCGCAAAACCTAACTCAAGAACATTTTTACGGCTGAACTTAAAAAAAAATGATCAATATGATTCATATAGTAAATTTGGTAGCAAGATATTATGATTTTCTTATATATATATATATATATATATATATATAGAATACACATACATACATACATAAACATATATACTCGAGAACACTTTTACTATTCAACTTAAAAGAAATGATCAATATGGTTCATATGGTAAATTTGATCAACATTATGCGAATTTCTCTTTTTTGATACGAGCACACGAAACTAAATTAGCTCAACGTTATGTGTTATAAATTTTGAAGGTAACCAAATTATAGGATAAAAGTAATTTACCAAAATGCTTGTCTTTTGGTGACATCATCTCATCACTTGAGTAATCATCATGGAAGTGATGACCAATTAAAAGACTATAATCAATAATTCTCTCTGTTTCCAAGGATTCACAATCCCTATAAATTTGCTTGAGAAAGAGAGAAAAAATATATTTTTTAACTTGTCAAGATTAGTGTCTCACCAAATTACAAGGAAAAGGATGCAAAAATTAATTAAAGACAGATAAATAAATAAAAGCAACGTTTTTATCTACCCGATGAGTTCATTAAACCATGATCGTGCCAAGGAAATACAAAGTTTGTATCGAGATCCTTAAGTGTGGTTGTCTCATCAATTTTACTCTCGGGTTTGTCGGATGTGCGTAAATCGGAAGAACCTTTTCGATCAAAGCATTTATATATACGATACTTGAAACAACACAGAGTTGCCCATTACAACAAAACGGTCCGAAATTACATTGACATGTGAATAATAATTAGTTTTTTATGAGCATTTTTATAAAAAGATAATCCAAATGAACAACTCCATTATTCCTATGATATCTCTTAACCTCCCACCGATTTAACACAATGCATACCAAAGAAGTTGTCTACCTAAGAAAAACAAAGAAAAGCCAAACAGACTCCTAAGACCAAGCCCCCAACACACGGGTACCCAAAAACACTATCCTATGGTAAAATCCACCTCTACCAACCATATGAAATTCTAGCCCGAACTTAGATGGACCATTTTCAACAAGTTTGAGAGGAAAAAGATGTCAAATTTGGTCAAAAATTGAAAGAGAAGCCGTGGAACCCGACCCATTTATAAACCCGAACAAATCTCTACTTTTTTGCCAAACCAACTATAGCCACCACTAAAGAAACATCCCTCACCCTCTTGGAAGTTGCTTACCCCAAAAATCCTAATGAAAATTCATTGGAATCAGCTCGAATCGAAGCAAAATCTATGTAGAGACCCATTTTTATAACATGTTTTCAACTTTTGATTGGAGTCAAATCAAACTTCCAAACCACTTGAGAAGCACTCTCTATAGTCTTCCGAGTCAATTGATATCCTCTTTGTCCTTTTTTATGTCCAGGAATCATAGTTAGAGAAGAAGAGGAAAATGGTACTCATTGATCAATGTCGATCTTCCTCTTCTAGATGTCGTGACCTACACCGCTCACTCTAGACGAACCAACGAGCTTATGACCTATACCGCCCACTCTAGATGAACCGACAGGTAGACATGGTAACGATTCCCGAACTATCGATTTTGGTTTAGAAACCATCGGTTTAGGTTCCACCAAAAGGTGAAACCTAAACCAAACCTTTTATGTTCGGTTATGGTTATGGTTTGGAATCGTAAAATCGACGGTTCCAAACCTTTTGGAACCGACGGTTCAATGGTTTTTTTATTGAGAAAAAAAATCAAACATTTTTTCTCAAGTATAAATCAAACATTAACATTAAAATGAAAAAACTTCTTTTTTGCATAATGTAAAAATATTATAATGTTTTTTACATTCTAATGTATTTTGCACAATAAATCAAAGGAAAAAAATAAATAAATAAAGAAGGGCTTGAACTTAATTTTTGTAAACACTACAAAAATTAAGCTTCCTGCGTATCCTCTTGGAGTTTAGAGAAATCAAAGCTTACGTAGTTCTCTTTTATATTTCAAAGTAACCTTTTACAAATTACACCTATGTAGCTATGCCTAGTTGCTTTCTTGATCGAAAGTTCCCGCTTCGAAGTTTTTGTTGTTGTGCCATCGAGTGTTAAATCCACACTTTCTTCATTGAAATCATATTGTTTTTATTCTTGTATTCTCTTGTCGGCTCTTATCCAATCATCCACGCATACTTGGGCTTCAAGTGACTCGGGAGCCAATTGTGATCGCCTATCATCTAAAATATTACCTCCGAAGCTAAAT